CCCGAGAAATAAAGCAACAGAGGCCCTACTCCAACAGAAAATAGTAAAGGAAAGAATAAGCCACAGTATTGCAGAACTCAGATATGCCTATCATTGCTCCAGATTTAGAGAACTCACATGGAATCCTAACATGTAGACGCTGATGCTAAATAAAAGAGGGTCCACTCCATCTCGAAAACAACAAAACATCTTATTCCGCCAGCCACACTGGCCTCTTGGAATACACAGGAAAACATTAGGTGCTTGTCTTAAGAGGTGAGGGCACCAGGGTAAAATTCACATAAGGATGTGAAAGAGGTAGATGACATCTGTGCACAGTTCCACTGCCACATTTTCTTTATGTAAATATTACTAGGGGCTGATGCGCCTGCCCCTCCTCCCTCTTTTTAATTATGCTGGATGGATTGGCCCCTTTTAAGATGCTGGTTTACTTCTGTACTGTCCATAGTATCCTATTTTAATTGTTTCCATTTTTTCTCTTACTTCTAACTTTGGAGCATCTAAAACATCTCAGCAGGAGGGCATTTTTCCCACGAAATCATTAGTAGTACTAGTAATTACATATAGGTTCTTAATATACTTCTATATGGAATGTGTTTTCATTTAAGTTATAGTTTATTAAAGAGCTGCATCTCCCCAAAAGTAATTTGAGAGCTCTAGAAAGGATATCTTGAATACAAAGGGACGAAAGGGTGATCAGAGTGGCTTCCTCTAAGAAACAGGATGGATCCTGAAATTCATCACTCAAACCACAGCTAGAGAATTTAAAAGCAAAATGTGCAAAGTATGAACACTGATATTAAACATGGTAGAAAAGATGGGCCGTGGGTGGAGCCGACAGACTTGGAGTTTGGAAGCCAGGAGCCTGACTGAGCTCATCGGTGCAACTCAGGTGAGGTTCTTCACCCTTCTGAGACATCCCTTGGCTCTTCTGTAAAATGCCAGGAAGAAAAAAAAAAGCACCAGGCTTTGGCATCCTCCTGTATGATGAATATCAACTACCTGGCCCATGGCACAGCACATGACAGGGAATTGTAAACGGGGGCTGTTAGCTGTCCCATTGTGGATGTTCGAGAATATCATTCCCCTGGCTAAGAGGCAGACACGAATGTTCTAGAACATGGTGATCCTGGAATGTATAGTGAAGTCAGGAAGAGAAAGAACGGGTAGGGAGGAGCAAGCTGGGAAGCAGGAATAAACTCTTATCTCCAGAAGCAGAGCTAGGAATGCCCACGGAGCCTTGGCACATGAGAGCCTCCGCTGAGCCAAATGGCCCAAAGACTTCTGAAAGAGCCTTTGCTGCAACAGAAAACTTCGGATCATTTTGAGAAACTCCTGTGAGGCGCCAATACGCTGCAGTACCTTCCAGGCCCCGACACTGATGCGATTCATCATAGATAATGTACGGATGTGATCAAGCTGGCCAGCAGCTTGAAAAACTGGAGTCATCAAATTGACCATGAAAAACACAAGAAGGTAATATTTAGTCATATCCCAGATGAAATCCTTGCATAGAGACACAAGATAAGGAAAGACCTGAAGGGAAGCAGACCAGCTATTATCGAGGGGCAGGGAGTTGGGGGATGACATAGAGACCAAGCCTAACATAGGTCACCCAACCAAGAAGGCCTTACGACTTCACACCGTCTCTGCAGTGTATGGATAGTGCAATGGAATGAAATGGTAATGATGGCTTCCGGTGCCAAATCTGAGTTTCCATCATCATGATCTTGGAGAAATAAGGAACACAGTACAATGGCATACACAGAGAATAAATGAACACACGACAGATTTTGAACAGGTTGAGTTTCTTCAGCCCACAACCTATCAAATCTAATTTTAAACCTTCAAAGACACATGTATAAGTTTCGTTTCTGTTCCAGTTTCATTTTCCCGTGTCCCTGACGGTCAATGATTTTTGGATAATTCTTATTTTTCGATCACTGGTCTACCTCGAGGTACTATATGTTAGAGTAAAGCTACACAACAATAAATTCTATCATCTCAAATTGACTCACAGAGACCCAATTATGACTCACAATATACAGTGAGTCTTTGAAATCATCTCATCCAACCATTTTCCTTAAAGATGAGGAAAAAAGGCTCCATATAGATCCAGAGGCTTACCCAAGGTCCCATCATTAATTGAGGCAAATCCAGGAATTTCTGCCTCTAAGCATCAAACAATAATTAAAATAGATGAATGTGTTATCATATATATTGTGTTCTCAGAAAAGAAGAGTATACATTTAATGATGCCAAAATAGTTGTGCCATCTATAGCATTATCTTTCAAGACGGGTTTAAACGTAAATATCATTGTACGACTATATTGTCACTAGGGTCCCTGGAATTGTACTTTTCTAGTTTAAAATATTACATCAAATGGGCAGAGGTTTACAATTCTGACATGCCCTTCTGCTAGTCCCAAGAACGCTGCGAGCCGTCAACACTTATCTACCTACACCATCAGTGGGAATGGAAATTGGAGCAACAAGATAAGAAAATGACTTCGAGGCCTGGTACAGTGGCTCACGCCTGTAATCCCAGCACTTTGGGAGGTCGAGGCAGGTGGATCACGAGGTCAGGAGTTCAAGACCAGCCTGGCCAACATGGTGAAACCCTGTCTCTACCAAGAATACAATTAGCTAGGTGTGGTGGCACATGCCTGTAGTCCCAGCTACTCAGGAGGATAAGGCAGGAGAACTGCTTGAGCCTGGGAGGCGGAGTCTGCAGTGAGCCGAGATCGCGCCGCTGCACTCTAGCCTGGCGAAAGAGCAAGACTCCATCTCAAAAAAAAAAGAAAAAGAAAATGACTCGAGAACTGTTACCAAAATTTACAATGCATATGCCCTTTGAATCAAAGAGTACACTGCTAAGATTCTGCCGTAGGTGTGTTCTCACAAAAGTGTAAATACAGAATGTTCACGGCAGCATAGTTTAGACCCAGTATCACATGAAATTGTAAGAAAGACTGATACAAGAGAGAACAGTAAAACACCATTGCTTGGAATAACAAATAGCAGAACAATGCAAACGACCTAAATGGCCACCAAAGGGAAGACTGGTCATAGCATAAGCACGTGATAGAATATTACGCAGCAGTTAAAACAGTGAAGTAGATGTATACGCACTAATAAGAGATCTCCAGTACTACTAAGTTTAGAAAAAACAAAGTACAGAACAGTATGTGAGTGTTTTTGCTGGTATATATAAGCTTTTTCTGGAATATACAAAATAGCTCATAATGTTTATCTTCCAAGAGAAGGACCAAGAGAAACTTTCCCATTTCATTTTCGACCTTCCCATTCTGCATGTCGATTCAAATGAGGTGCACGTATGCTTATTTGTACTCTTCTCAATAAATCTCTAAAGATTACCACCATCCCACCTAATAGAGGTTATTACTTGTTAACATTAGTGAGAAAGACACTAACATAATCAGAAAAAAATAAGACTCTGTTTTCTTTTTTTTAATTTTACCCAAAAGAGTAAGTCCAGTGAGCTCAAGACAAGGGCTTATTTCATCATAAATATACTGAAAAAGCAGAAATAAATGTTCCTTTTCTTTATCTTCATGACTTTTCAGTCCAGAATACCAGAAATTTTCTTAAGTACACTGTGGTCTATTTCTCCAAATGGCAAGAAATCATTCACAACATTCAGAAAATGAAGACGGCCTTCTCAGCGTTTATCCAGCCCACTCCAGGCTCTATTCCCAAAGCTACTGCTCTGTCTTCTCCTCCTCATCCTTCCAGGGCCTCTGCGCTTGCCATTCCCCTGCCCCATCTGACCCTTCTCCACCCTCCCCAGGTCTTTCATGAGATCTTAGCTCAGCTACATCTCCCAACTCCCTGGCATCCACACTGTTTCGTAGGACCACTTACTGTTTGTTCAAGTCTACCTTAATATCTATGTTTCTTTGAGTAACTCTGTCTTCCACAATAGGCTGAAAGCTCTACAAAGACAGTGGCAATGTCTGTTGTCCTTCACAGTAGACCCCAGCACCTGTGACAGAGGTGCACTGCATGAACATGTAAATGAATGAAAAGTGAATGAATGCAGTCTAGACTCATGCTGAAGCCCAGTGATGTTTAAAAAACCAAACAGCTCACATCACTCTCGAGCTCAAACCCTCTAATGTCTTTCTCACCACTGGCTCAGAGTCTCCCAGATACCCATCCCCAACAGCACCTCTCCTACCCTGTCCATTCATCTCCAGCCACACCAGCTTCCCTGATGATCCTTGAATTCTCCACTGAGCCTTTGCATAAGCTGTTCTCACTGCTAAGAGAGGACTTCTCTTGACATTTGCATGGCTTACCTTTACTTCCTTCAGGTCTCAGATCAAATATCACAGCTTTGGAGGGCTTCCTGCAGATGACTCCATGATGCTCATGGTATCACTCACCCTCCCTTCCTCTGCTTTACTGTTCTTTGTTTATTGACATCGTGAGAAATATTAAATCTGATTATGATCTATTTTTCCTACCTAGATGGTAAGCCTACGAGGGCAGGGATTCTGTTTCATTTGATACTAACTCCTTGGTCCCAAGACTAATGCAAGCCCTCAATAAATATTTACGTAGACAGGTATCAACATCAACTTCTTTACAGGGAGAGAAAAGAATCAGAGATAGGGTTAAAACCTACTTCTTTCTAATCTTAAAAACCACAAGCATAACAGTCTCCTAGTTGCAATCATGGGCGTTCGCCACGCTTTATTTTTCTTAATAAATGAGTTAAACGAGTAAACATTCTCAAACCCCTGATTAATAAAGCAGACGACACTGACAATGAACCATAAACAAATGCGTGCATAATAATGGGCTTGCTGATGCTTTCATTCATAAAACAAACAAAGTGAAGATGACTTTAAAAATATAGACATGATTCCAAGAGCAATCAACTTTACACGCTGCACTCAAATCTCCATGTGGCTAGCCCAGCATGTGTATTTGACAATTAAAAAAAAAAAACAAAAAACAGTTGAGCGCTTACCCATTCTTCTAAAATGCGTGACACTGCTTCACTCGCCCTTGCCATGTTCCTGCAGGCCAAGATCACGTGTGCACCATGGAGGGCAAAAGACTTGGCAGTTTCGAACCCTATGGGGTAAAGGAAAGTCAATGTTAGAAAACACGGCATCAACACAGTGAGTCATGTTGAATGGCCCTTACTGGAGAACCACTTACATTACCCCAGGTTCTCAACCAGGGGAGATTCTGACCCCTGGGGGACAGGTACAAAGGTCTGACATTTTCAGTGGCCACAGTTGTGGGGTAGAGTCCTGCTGGCATCTAGTGGGTAAAGGTCAGGTATGCTACAAATCATCGTTTTGTTTTGTTTGATACGGAGTCTCGCTCTGTCACCCAGGCTGGAGTACAGCGGTACAATCGGGGCTCGCTGCAACCTCCGCCTCCCGGGTTCAAGTGATTCTCCTGCCTCAGCCGCCAAGTAGCTGGGATTACAGGCATCCACCAGCACACCTGTAATCGCTGGCTAATTTTTGTATTTTTAGTAGAGATGGGCTTCCGCCATGTTGATCAGGCTGGTCTTGAACTCCTGACCTCAGGTGATCCGCCTGCCTCTACCTCCCAAAGCCCTGGGATTACCGGCGTGAGCCACCATGCCCATCTTACAAAACATCTTACGCTGAGTAGGGTAGCCCCCTACAACACAGAACCATCTGGCCCAGACTGTCAACAATGTGATGGTAAGAAAACTTGTCCTAGGGATGCAGTGATTTCAGAGATGAAGACTGAGCCATAGAAGAGTTAATGGCACGTCCAGCCATTTAACCATCATCAATAATGACCAGATCCTTTGCCCACGTTAAGGACATGATGCTCTGCTCTGTGGTAATGCTCCCAGCACCTCTGCTTCCACCAATGTTACCTAGGTTTCTTAGACCCATTTTCTATTGAGAACAATTAGAAACGCTGGAGAAAATAACACACGTGCACACGTGCACACACACACATCTGTTTGAAGGCATCAGAAGGGCACTATGACTGAGAATCTTAGGGGCCAAGATCTGCAAAAATTGCAAGGCCAGCATTTGACAGCGTTTTTCCTTCAAGGCATATTTCATTTCCAAACATAGTGGTTGGAAGCCTAAGAAGATGGGCTGAGCGTTTAGCAGTCTCCTAACAGGGAAAAAGACACCACCAAGAACGGGCCGTGGTAAATACACCAAACCTTTGGCTGGGATCCTAAAGAGATACACCCTCCTTATAATAACAAGACACAGACCAGCCTTCACAAGAGTGGAAACTCAGGTTCAGGCCTTTTCAATTCCTAGTTTGATTAAAGTGATCAGTCCCTATCTGTCCAATTTCCAGAAGCAAGAGAAAATATTCTCTGGAGGAAGATACCATTATCTAGAAGTCTCAAATTACCACTATAATTATTTCAAATACTCATATAAAATCTCAGACACTCAAACAAAATAGCTAAGCATACAAAAAAAAAAAAAAAGACTTCACCAAAAGCCAGAGGGGAATAAAATGGAAATAAATGCACAGGAGACAGATATATAGCCACAAATTCAAGAAGTATCCTGAGCCAGAAGCAGAAATATATATGGGTATGTGTCTACATGTATGTGTATAAATGTGTGTGTGTCCACATGTATGTGTATATATATGTGCAAGCCACAAGCAGAAACATATATATATGTAAGCCACAGAAATATATATGTGAGCATCTGTGTACGTGTGTGTGTGTGTAGACACACATATATACACATACATGTCAAAGCAAGGCACATCACAGTAAAACTGCTGAAAACTGCAGATAGTTTTAGAAGTATATACAAGTACCTATAAGACCGGTAGTTATACCTCTCAGCAAAATGACGGAAGTCATGGCTGAAAGAAATAGAACTTTCCTCTTAGAATTCCATACATAGTGAAAATATTCTTGAAAAATAAAGGAGAAGGAGAACAAAAATTTTAAGCAAATGAAAGCTGCTTTTTGTTTATCACCTACCCTACACCTAGTGTCATGTATAGACCTACGCTAGAGGAAACACTAAAGGATGCTCTTCAGGCAGGCGGAAAATGACCCTGGTTATAAACCCAGAGATGCAGAAAGCAACAAAGAGCAACATAAAGAGCAAAGATATGGAAAGATTTAAACAGTAAGAGTAGTAATCTCTGTGAGTTTTAAAACACACAGCAAAAATCACCATATCGCCGGGTGCGGTGGCTCGAGCCTGTAATCCCAGCACTTTGGGAGGCCGAGGTGGGTGGATCACGAGGTCAAGAGATTGAGACCATCCTGGTCAATGTGGTGAAACCCCATCTCTACTAAAAATACAAAAAATTAGCTGGGCATGATGGCAATGCCTGTAATCCCAGCTACTCAGGAGGCTGAGGCAGGAGAATTGCCTGAACCCAGGAGGCAGAGGTTGCGGTGAGCCAAGATCGTGCCATTGCACTCCAGCCTGGGTTACAAGAGCAAAACGCCGTCTCAAAAAAAAAAAAAAAATCACCATATCAATAATAACAACAACACTTAACCTAGGAGGTAAGAAATGGAAGTAAAGGATCCTAAGGTTCTTTTCTTGACCAGGAAGTGATATAATACTGATTTATATTAGACTTAATAAGTCAAAGATGCAAGCTGTAATCTCTACAAATTTAACAAGCTACTATAGAAGTGAAGTAGACTAATAAAAAAGAAAGAAAGGAGAGAAAATGGCTAGGTACAGTGGCCTGTAATTCTAGCACTGTGGGAGGCCAAGGCATGAGGATCACTGAGACCAGCTTGGGCAATATAGAAAGAATCTGTCTCTACAAAAATTAAAATTAAAAAAGAAATACTCATGTGTGGTGGGGGCACCTGTGGTCCCAACTACTCAGAAGACTTAAGGATCGCTTGAGTCCGAGGGTCATAGCTACAGGGAGCTTTGATCATGCTGTTGCACTTCAGCCTGGGTGACAGAGCAAGACCCTGTCTTAATTTAAATAAAAGAAAGAAAGGAAAGAAAAAGAGAGAGAGAGGGAGAAAAAGAAAAAAAGGAACAGAAAGAAGGGAAAGAAGAATATAGAATAAGTTAAACAGGAAGCCAATATGGTGGTATATTTCAGCCCAAACCCAAATATATCTGTCATTACATTAAATATAAATGGCCTAAAGATGGCAATTAAAAGAAAAAGATTGTCAGACTGAAGAAAACATGAATATACATATATACTCTTTATAAAATAATGTACATTATGTTTTGTATCTTTAAACATAAGGATACAACAATTAAAGTAAAAGAAAAGAAAAGGTATATCATATAACATGACCAAAAGAAATCTGATATACCTATACTAATTTCAGAAAAAGGAGCTTTTAAAGCAAGAAGTTTTACAAGAGAAAGCACTGACTATTTCACTATTTCAATCCACCAAGAATACATGACAATTCTAAATTTATATGTACTTAATAATAGAGCCTCTCATATATGTCAAATATTAACAGAAGTATGAGAATAAATAGAGAAATTCACAATTATAGTGGGAGATTTTAACATATCCCTCTTAGTAACAGATAAAATAAGCAGACAAACACAAAGTATATAGAAGATTTGAACAACTTAATTGATAAACTGGTAATAATTGAATATGCTAAACACAGAAAACAACAGCAAAATATACTTAAGTACTTAAAGAATATTTACCAAAACTGGCGACCAGCAGAGCCAAAAGCAAGTCTCAACAAATTTAAAAAGATTAAAATTAGAAAGCATGCTTTTTGACTGCAATGGAATTATAATCAATAACAAGATTGCAGAAAATTCTCTTTTATTTATACATATATATGCATAAACAAATAAAACATTATGGCTCAAAAAATTATAATGAAAATTAGAAATATTTTAAACTCAATAATTACAAACACATATACAAACTTAAAGAGTATAGCTAAAGCCATGGTTAAAAGAATGTAATCTATACCATTAATTACATATATTAAAAAGAAGGCCAGGTACAGTGGCTCATGCCTGTAATCCCAGCAATTTGGGTGGCCAAGGCAAGCAGATCGCTTGAGCCCAGGAGTTCAAGAACAGCCTGGGCAACATGGCAAAATCCCATCTCTACCAAAAATTAGCTGACCTTAGTGGCACACACGTGTGGTCCCAGCTACTCAGGAGGATGATCATGCCACTGCACTCCAGCTTAGATGACAGAGTAAGAGTCTGTCAAAAAAAAAAAAAAAAAGAAAGAAAGGAAAAGAAAAGAAACAAAGCAAAACAAAAAGAAAAAGAAAGGAAGGAAGAAAAGAAAGAAGGAGGGAGAGAGACAGAGAAAGGAAGGGAGGGAGGGAGGGAGGGGCAAGGAGGAGCAGGAAGGGAAGGAAGGAAGGAAAGAGAAAAGATGATCTAAGCATCCATTACATTAGGAAAATAACCCAGCACATTAAACCTAAAGAAAATAGAAGGGGGCCGGGTGCGGTGGCTCAAGCCTGTAATCCCAGCACTTTGGGAGGCCGAGGCGGGTGGATCACGAGGTCAAGAGATAGAGACCATCCTGGTCAACATGGTGAAACCCCGTCTCTAATAAAAATACATAAAATTAGCTGGGCATGGTGGCGTATGCCTGTAATCCCAGCTACTCAGGAGGCTGAGGCAGGAGAATTGCCTGAACCCAGGAGGCAGAGGTTGCGGTGAGCTGAGATCGCGCCATTGCACTCCAGCCTGGGTAACAAGAGCGAAACTCCATCTCAAAAAAAAAAAAAAAAAGAAAAAAAGAAAACAGAAGGATGGAAATAACAGGAGGAAGGAAAAAACTTATAAATCTAAAACAAACATAAAATACTGAGCAAAAAATAAGCCAAAAGTCTGTTAATGGAAAGAACTAGTAAAATTAATGAAGGGCTAGCAAGACTGACAGAGAGACAGAGACAGAAAGAGAGGGCATGAATGACAAATATCAGGGATGAACAAAACGACATTATTATGTCAAATAAAAGCATAGGCAACAAAAACAGAACTAGAAAGTGAGATGACATAAAACTAAAAAGCTTCTCGACATTAAAGAAAACAATCAAGAAATTGAAAGGGCAAGCTACACAGCAGTAAGAATACCTGCAAACCACATAACATAGTGTTCAT